GGCCAATTCTGCTTGAATACTATGAGGCTAGTCACAACCTGACCTGAACGCTGACCTATTTCGCAGCTCACAATTGTATCCATACGTGGCAATCAAATCCCAAAAGGATTTTCCTCCATCTCATCACAATTTTTGGAGAAACCGAAATATGTATTCACGAGTAACCTAAATATGGACGTTTCTCAACGTTATGATTTTAGTTTAATTTGGTATCTAGAATTACTCACAGATTTTTCCCGTTGGACGATAGGAGAATTACCTTCCCGCCTATGGATGGAAGTCTAAATTGGGGTATCTTATTCTTATTAGTAAACAGTAACAACTCAGTTTTGCTTGAATTTACGTTAAGGCCGCTGCCTTTAACCCACGTGTGTAGTCTACCCAGTGCCTTTTCTAGAATTTCACTTACAGTAGAAATAAAAGGTACCGTGACTGCTATCACTACATTGTCACCATACGTCACTACTTTAACTCCTCCTTTATTGAGTTCTAGCAGTACAGTGGTTAGTGCTACTACCCACAACAGTGGGGAGAGTACACCACCCTGAGGGGTACCTCTACGCACATATTTAGTTATTAGACTATTTCCTCTTTTCGCCTGGATAATTCTGTTTTCCAGCATGGAGCGTACCCAACCAACCACACCGCCGCCAACACCAACCCCCACGACAAATAGGTAGTGAGTGTCGATCCTTTTCTCGCGGGTCTTTTCCAAGATTTGGCATATTGAGAGTACCTGGTCTATGGTAGATTTGCCAGGCCAAAAGCCACACTGATAAGGCCCAATCAGTTCATTGACGGTGGGCTTCGGTCTTTCACACAATACGCACGATAAGACCTTGTAACCTATGCTTAGAAGGCTGATCCCGCTGTAGTTGTCATAGTCAGGCGGTGGAACATCGTCTCATCCTAAGAACAATGGATGATCATGACGATTTTAATTTTTGTTATAATAAGCATTACTTATACATATACATATGTAGGCAGATAAAACTTTATGACTACATAAAAAATAGCATCAACGACTTTAAATGGAATTTATATTTTTTACACTCTTAACATTATGCGTATATGTATGTAGGTATGTATGTATGTAAGTACAAATATATATAAACCAAGCGATAAAGAGCATTTAAGTAAATCAAGTTACATTTATGATAAATTTTAAGAGGCACTCTATGTAGTGATGCAAATACATACGTATGTACATTTATAAAATTAGTGTTAGTCATATTATGATATACAAATGTATGTATGTGGCTTGAGTTGTGGATTCAATAAAATACGTCTAAAGGCTTAAATTTGTGGAAAAATAACTAATTGAAGATAACTTCCGATATGCATAAAACTCACAATTCTTTTTTTTTCTAATGCTACATAATTTTTATGAATTTCTGTTTTTACAAATACGAACTAAAAATGTATAATGTTAATTGACAATACATTTATTATGACTAAGCATAATCACGCACCGGTGATAAACAGATGCGCTTGCTGTTGATATATTTAAAAATGCGGCTTCATCCGTGCGTAGACAATGAATGGCGCTACAGTTGACAGTAGGGACAACAAAATATTTGCCATTATTTGTAGTGAAGCTATGGAAGATAAAATATTATTGATAAATAGAATATTGGAAGATCTAAAAATATTCAATGAATAGGTACATATCGTTACTCAAGGTGAAAAGGTGCTAAGTCCATTTTTTGAAATTGTTCAGTTGAGACGAAAAACCGTCTTAACTGTGTATTATCTGGCATTTCGCATCGAAAATTCAAAATTGGAAAAAGGGGTTTTAGCATCTTTTTACCATTATGTGGCGATATATACATGGTGGTGCAAAAGGAATGTCATAATGTGAATTATGAAGTCTATTTAAAAGTTAATTTGAAGATTTAAAATTTATGAAATTAAGGTAAATAAAATTATAGTTTAAATAACTAAAACCTCTCTATCGGCCTACAATATATGTAGATGTCAAAGAACAATGACTTTTGACTAAATTTGTAAAAATTAAGACACATTCACATTATGAAATTATTTTTGCGCCACCTTGAATATGTATATCGTCGTTTAAAGTACAAAACCGCGTATCAACAAAATGCAAAACCGCGTATGAGAGGTTGCATAAATTATTTTCCAGAGAGCAAAAACACTCATATTTCAAAATGGTTCTCTTTTTTATAAAGCAAACGCATTTCTGGCTAGTATATTTCAGGACGAATGGATAAGGATTGAGCCAGGATCTTGTGTGAATAAATCCAGTTTTTGGCAGCCATTGTCAGTTACGCGGTTTTGCAGAATGACGATACGCGGTTTTGTACTTTAAACGAAGATATATAAAATCTCTTACTTACCGCCACTGCAAATATCCTTCAAAACATCTTCGAAATATCCATTTTCATTGTCGCAGAGGCAAATCTTAGTTTTGGAAATGAATTTAGCCACACCAATTGTGCGATTGACACTTTCAAAATGACAAACCAAACCATCTTCACACTCGTTGCTGCTGGTGCATTTGTGGCGCAAACCTGGAAATACAAATACAAGAAAAAAATTTTACCAGCGAATGATGTGTCAAAAGACTTTGTGAGAACGGAAAAATATTTTTTTTTTTATTTATATATACATAACATGAACTGTACGATGACAAGTTAATAAATGACTTAACTGATTACTTTGAGACGCAAGTTACCAAAAGGGTTTTTCAATAAGCATGGGTCGATGTTGAACTATTTTTTTTTTTTTTATTTACGAGGCTTAAATTCACTGGGTTGTGTTGAATTGAATAGCATCGGTGTCTTGCGTCTTATCGGCATAAAGCAGCGACTGCAGAAAACTCTACAAAAAACGGTTTGCTGGGTCAAATTGCACGATCTTGTAGACTACATCGCAGAATATTGTTGTTTACCCCGGTGGGCGAGCATCTAACCCCGATCTGCATTAAAGAGAGACTCTTCAACATCTCCCGCACAGTGGTACAATCCCAAGTATTTTTTTTTGGAAAAAATTAGAAATAATCGGCGCAGAAGCTCTATTTTCCATATGTAATATTTATGGACACAAATCAAGAAAAAAACGAAAAATTGGCGTAATCGATTTATTTTAAAATATACCAACCGTATTAACCTAATCTCAGAAACCTCTTAAAAATACCATAAAAATCACACCAATGAATGTATGATTCCAAATTTGGTCCATATATTTTTAATAATATTATGTGTGAATCTCCAAAAATTAGGCGTAATCGGTTTATTTCAAAGCATGCAAACCTAACCTCAAAACGCATTAAAAGAGCCGTACAATGCGGACGGCTGAATATATCGTTTCGAAGTTTGACCTATGTTAGTAATAATATTATAACTAAACTCCCAAAAAACGAGAGTAAAGGTTTTATTTTAACACATACCTCCAATGGAAACTTAACACCAGAAGCGCCTAAAAAATAACATAAATGCCATCCCTACTATATGAGGTTAAGTTAAAAATCGCAAATACGCGCCAATTGTTTTTTCAGAAATCGATAGAAAATGTTCCGGTCTTACATTCTTTCACAGATAAGAATGCGAAGGAAGAAAAAGGAAATACAACTTTTGTCCATCAAAAATGTCAAAAACTTAGTATTTATATATTGTCATTTTTGTCTGCTTATATTTATTAAAATATTTCATTGATTGCCCCGATTTTTTGTTTTTTAGTTTTGTCTAAATAGCAAGTGTTTATTCACATGAACATACAAGGAAGAGATCTTTGGATCAACCGTCGGAAAATTCAGTATTCACGAAGAAACGGACTAAGGCTGACCGACTTCACCATGGCCCGAAATATGATTGTATGTAGTACTAGGTTCCAGCACAAAAATTTCCATCGACTGTCTCCACCTCAAAATTCGAAAAGTCTAATGTATCATTTTGTGATAGATGCAAGGCATGCTTTCAGTGTTTTGGACGTACATACACTCCGAGGGCCAAACATCAACTCGGGCCAATTGTAGTCAAAATGCGCACCTGCCTCTGTGCAGTAAGAAAAGTGTGTCCAACAAAGCAACGAACCAACTATCGCGGCCTCATGTTACTTATTATAAGTCGCAAGGTCTTATTCAGCGTATTATGTGATAGACTGAAGCCGACTATTAACGAAGTCATTAGGCCTTATCAATGTGGCTTTAGATACCACACGAGGTTTAAGACAACTGACTCCCTTTCGCTTCATTTCTTTAATCTAATGTAGAAAAGTGCGTTTACAAAATCAAGGTGCAAAAAAACTAGTAGATGAAACAAATAATTAAAATCATCTTGAACCTATTCTGCTGAACCGGAGTGTATAGTACCTAATTTTGTAATATTATGAGACAGCATCTTATGACTATGTACGTACGTATGTAGTCACTTCATTTCACTTGTCCACTCATATTTGCAACAGAAGGCAGCACTCTTTAACATCTAAGCAAATAACTGAAACTGTCAATAACAAAGTAAATAGAAACAAAGCTCAAGAAAAGTAAATAAGGAGCTAAACTGGGATGATGCTATTGTTTGACTTTCATTTAGCATGGAAAAAGTAACTGAAGCCTAGATTCACGTAAAATCTAATCGCAAAAATAAATGAGTACCTAGTGCAAGAAATCCTTGAAGGAAAGAAGCAAGTTGTATTTACAAGCTCATTAAGTTCCGTGAATCTTTAAATTGTATGCATAGTTAGTGTTGCTTTTTTTACATAGCTTAGGTACGAATGTAGTGCATAGCTATAGCACAACATACTATTCTTAAAAACAATTTGTAGTGTTAAAATGAAAAAAAAAAAACATACTAAGGGTGCAGAAATACGAAACGTATGCCCATGCAGTACAAATAATACCAAGAAAATAATTTTTATACTCGTATCATCTGTAATGTTGATTGGTGCTGAAATTATTGCTGCAATAAAGCAATTAAATGAGCGTTGCA